ACCACAATTTTTACACCATACGAATTAATTTTTGGTAAAAAACCGTCGATACCAACATCTTTTTCCAGAAAGGAACAACCAGTGTATAATTATAATGATTATACTTTTGACCTTATGCAAAAGATGCAAAGTTCAAGGGAAATAGCTAAAGAAAATATTATTGAAAACAAAAATAAAATATACCACGTTTTTCACCATCGTTTTGATGGCGAGCGCCATCTGCCGACCGGCCACCATTTGCCATGGTGTGGTGTCGGCGATTGTTGGCCGTGTACGCTCGACCGGTGTTGTTGGAGCGCGTCGGTCGCTGTTGGCTGGTCCCGCTGTCCGGTTGACTGTGGATGTTGATGTCGGAGTGTGGCGTGATGGAGGACCATATTCCAGTGCCACTGTCCTCGGACGGTTTTCGACGACCGGTTTCGGTACACGGCCCGTCGACTGCGTTCGTCCCCCGCGTACACCTTGTCCCCCGATCAATTTGATTAGTTCGGCCGACCGGTCCTGCTGGCCCCGCTCGTATGCCGCTCGCAGGAGTAGATCCGCCAGGAGCTGTGGCATCGTGGCCCTGCGGACTTCTCCGGACGTCAGCTGGTGTCTTGTGCGTCTGTTCATGGTTTCTGGGGGCAAAAATATTGTTAATTGTTGTGTTTGCGTGCTTTAGGCACGATACATGGATTTTCCGGGGTGGTTGCTGGTTGGTTAGGAATACTCCTTTTCCTACCCGCTTTTCCAACCTCACTGGACCCCACCATTTTGGGGCAAATCCAGCGTAGAATCCATGACTCGCTTTTGACAGGTGGTGGGCTTTGTAGTATACCACGTCGCCCTCCGAAAACTTTGTTTGTTCCGGACCGTCTGTCGTCACGCAGTTTCCTAGAACCTTCTTTTCCCTTTCCACCCTTTCCGAAATTATATCTTCGATCGGTATGGTCGTGTTCCGCGACAGGGTCCAATCCCCCGGCCTTTTGCATTCTCTGCCGAGTACCAGTACCAAGGGTGGGTATCCTGTTCGGTCGTTCCTTCTATTCCGAATCGCAAATAAGATTGGTGGTAGTTTGGTGTCCCAAGTACTGTGTTTGTCGTTTGACAGTACTGCGCGCAATCCTTTTTTTAGATCCTGGTTGCGACGCTCGACCGGATTAGCTCGAGGGTGGTATGTTGGTGTCGTCCAACCCTCTGCCCCCCAACGTTCGATCGCGTTTACCATGTCGTTCGATACGAATTGGGGTCCATTGTCGCTGAGACACATGCGGGGATAACCGAAGTGAGAGAAGAATTCGCGTTCGAGCGATTCTACAGTGTTTTTTGTTGTGGTTGATCCGAGGGGGTACGCTTCGGTCCACCTACTAAAGCAGTCGGTGGCCACCAGTATGTAGGACTTTCCCTTACTTGTACGTGGGTAGGGGCATAAGATCGATACTGATGACTTCCCAGGGTTGTCGGGGTTTCCAGCTGGTTAGGGTCGTCCGGATGGGAATTGAGCGATTTCATGCATGCACAAATGTGGCAAGATTTCACATACAATCTCACGTCGTTCTTCAGTCCCTTCCAGTAGAAACGTTGCCGGATGGCCCGGTACGTTTCTTTCCAACCCGGGTGGCTGGCCAATATATGTTCATGATACCTCCAAATCACATGTTGTGATTTGGCCGGGTGGTATTACGACCGGCGAGTGGTCCCCCACATGTCTGGTCCCTCGTTTTTTACCACGGGGACATGTATCATTTTGAAGTCTAAATTCGCAAGTTGGAGTGCCCACCTGGTAAGTTTAGAACTTTTATCCTTCGCCCTGTGTAGCCAAGTTAAAGCTGCGTTGTCCGTAAATAGCTCAAATCGGCGTGCTTCGAGGTATGGTCTGAACTTGTCCGTTGCCCAGATTATGGCTAAGCACTCGCGTTCTACGGCGGCGTACCTTTTTGCGTTTCCGAAAACTTTTTGCTCGCGTAGGCGATTATCCGTCTTTCCTCCGGTCTGTCACCCCTTTGGAAAAGAACGGCACCGAATCCTAACTCGCTCGCATCAGTCTGGAGGCAAAAAGGTTTTCCATAATCTGGTGGGGATAATTTCGGAGAGTCGTAAAGGGCGGATTTGATCTTTTCAAATGCCAGACTCTTCGACTTCCGTCCAACGCCACTTAGCTCCGTGTTTGAGTCGATCGGTTAAGGGTGCAATGGTGTCCGAGTAGTCATCAACAAACTGGCTGTACCAATTGCATGTTCCTAAGAACCTACGCAGGTCTTTAACCTTCTGGGGACGCGGGAAATTTTTTATGCCCTCTAACTTCTCTGGCTGTTTGTTGATCCCCTCGGCGTCCACAAGATGCCCCAGAAATGATATTTCGGTGGTCCCTATTCTACACTTTTTGGTGTGGCAGGTTAGTCCGAATCTGTGTAGGAGTTCAAGAACTTTGTCCAGGTGGTATTGGTGTTCGTCCGAGATCTTTGAAAATATAACTATGTCATCTAAATAGACCTGAACGAACTCGTCCAGAAACCCACGCAGTACCTCATTCATGAGCCGTACGAAAGTCATGGGGCTATTCTTGAGGCCGAATGGTAGGACCCTAAATTGAAATAAGCCTCTGCAGGTTCTGAATGCCGTGTATTTTCGTGCATTTGGTTTTAGTGGTACCTGCCAGTATTCAGACTTAAGGTCCAGTACACTAAATACTTTTGACCCCTTCATTTGCCGTATTAACCTATTCAGGTCGGGCATCGGGTACGCGTCGGATTCAGTCGCGTCATTGAGCCTCCGATAGTCGACGCAGAGTCGATGCGTTCCATCCTTTTTTTTTGCCAGGACCACGGGTGCGGCCCACGGGGAGGTGCTCGGTTCAACTAGGCCCTGTTACTCCATATTCCTAACCATGTCGTCAATAATGGTTTGCTTCGCTGTGGAGTACGGGTATGGTTTAACCGTGATAGGAGCGTTATTTTTATGAAGGATTTCATATTCCAGCAATTTGGTTCGGCCGATCTGGTCGCTGAAAACGTCCGCGTATCTATTAAGGATACCGGTTAAGTTTGCGCGCGTTTCCGGGTCGCCTAGTATTTCCAGTTGTGAAAGGTCGGGAGCGGTATTGGTGGGTGTTGTGGTGTGCTTTTTCCAGCACGCTGTGTTTCTCCTCCTAGCTCCCAAGTGGATCGTGCACGCGGCATAGTCCCAGGAGACCTCATTCTGAACGAGGAAGTCGTGTCCTAGTAATACTTCGCAGTACAGATTTTCCAGAACGGATGCTGTGAATTCTATTTCAAGATCTCCTATTCTGGTTGCGAAGTCTGCGGTACCAATTGTTTACTTGGTGTGTCCGTCGGCCAATCGTACTGTTGTGGGTAGTCCGTTTGCCGGACCGGATGTTCCGGGTAGAACGTCGTTTGTAGGGGTCCCTGTCCCGTGCTGTGTAGTTGGGGTTGGTACGTGGGGACTGGTGAGTGTGGTGTATCCAGTCTGCCCTGACCTATTTCCGACCCCCTCGACTATTGTTGGGCCACATTGGTCGGTAGCGGTGACCGGTGTACGCGGTCCGACATACCCAGTTCAATACGTCGCATGCATTCCGTCAAACGACGTTGGTCGTCGCCAAGGCTGGTCATGAACGACTCGAGTATGGTGTCGCGTACTGCGTAGTCACATAATATAAAACACACATTATAAGAGGTTCTCATGAACATCGAAACTGGGCGTATGAATAAGTTAAATTGTTCACATGGTTATCTGTTTAAATAAGAATATGAATATCGGAGTCACATATACGTGGGTGGTTGACCACATCCTGGATCTTGTAATAAGTATGGGCTGGTCAAGAGATAGTACACGCATGCAGAATCAATAGAGAATTATCATATTTTAGAACGCACACACCGAATCAATAACGACTCATCACATTTATCATATTTTATTATCTTATTTCATTTACACACACACACTTGGGATTTTACACACACACATACAATATCACATATAAAAGGGACCCGAAAACAAGGGCAAATCAGACGAGTCTTGTCTATGCTGCACTGAGCACCTTCACGTCAGTGTATGTTATGGTCTGGACTTAGAAATATTTCCAATTATTTTATAAGTACAATTGTTAGGACTTAAATAATTTCTATCACTAGAATATTACAAAATTTGTAGTTAGAATAATTTTTATAAGTTAAATAAATTTAATTATTTTAAAAAGAAGTCTTAATTATTCCTGACTACACTTCCACACAAGCGTTGACTGAGACGTTGTAACTGAGTTAACGGATCAAACGGTTGGCACGTAACAATGGATAAGCGGTCTCCGAGTGGTTCGGTTCAGTCCGGGCTACGATTTGCGAGAAGACGGAGCGTGGTTAGTTGTTCATACGCGACTTGGACCGTATTGGTGGCGTACGTGTCGGTATCGAGAATCGACCTATCCGGTGTCGACTCGATTTGTCGTCCGGTGGTCGTTTCCGTGGTATCGCAGAGAACCTCCATTGATTGGAGGTGGATGACACCCGGTTCGCCCCCTAACTCGCTTATTTGGTTGTCCAGTCGGGCTTCCAAGTCTGCCTTTGTGCCCGATATGTGTAATCCGCGGGATCCACGTTCGCGACGTAATTCGGCCAACGTGAGGTGCGCGATCGGTTTTCCGGACACATTCAATTATTTGATTTCTGGCCGTTAAACTACGCAAGGTCGTCGACAGCGGTGTACAATAAAAGTCTGTGTCCGGTACGCGATGGCTGTTGACGGAAAAAAAACGCGAGCGGTGTGTGTGTATCCGGCGGTGTGTTTACGTTGCGTGTTTGTCGCGGCGGCGGGTCCGGTTTTTTGTAAACACGGTAATCACGCCTACGGTTATCACGTCAACGATAAATTGATAGACGACGGCGGCGGCTTATCGGTGATTAAGGTACGTTTTCCTAGGAGCGCGTTTTTTGCGTCGTGTATAACGTATTACGCTTAGCGCAGTACGTCATCCACTTATTCTTTTGAAATTAATCACACTGTTTTCCTACAGAGCGCAACACGTTGCGTGTCAGCGCAATAAGCTCGGCGCGATTCGTCGACTGACGAGAAAGGCAGTCTATTGTGTTGCGCGCAGCGTTTTATAGAAATTGTGGTTTTCTATTTTGCTATTTTATATTATATTAAAGTGTTTTCAAAATAATAAAATGCATAAAAGTAGTTGTGTTGGGCCAAGCGTTCGTTTTTCGGGTGACGACGACGATCAGTTGATTGCATTTGTTAGTAATCATACAATATTATATGATTTGAAGAATCCGGATTGCAAAAACACATTAAAAAAAGATCTCATATGGGAGGAAGCTGGAAAAATTCTGAATAGGACAGGTAAAAAGATATGTTTATATGTAGATTTTTTAGAATTATAATTGCATATTTATTCATAAAAACAACTTCATTTTTTCCTCATTCGTATTTACTTTTCAATTTACACAATTTAATTTTATCAATTCATATATTTAGTCTGTTGTCGCATTATTATTATAATCTATTTATATTTATTATAGTCTATTTTCCCAAAAACGACTGTGGTCTGCGATAATGCAATAACAACAATATTTATATGATAAAATAAACATTAAGTATATTATTACGTCTTGTTTTGTATTTATTATTAAAGTATTTATATAATATGAAAATAATTACCTAATATTATTATTAATATTAATTTTTACACTATTTGTAACATTCAAAAATTAAGGTACTATACTAGTATATATATACCACATATATACCACTTATATTACTACTATTACACTTATATTTATATTTATATTTAAAAGTATGAATTTTATTGTCGTTAAGTACTCAATCTTCATGGTTAGTAAAATCCTGGGTACTGAAGTAATCAGTAAATCGACTTCTCACTTGAAATCCGTCAGACTTGGTAAAACCACCTGTACCTGCTAAAGGAATCATATTTTGTGTAGGGAAATCTTCTACGTCTTGGTATATAACCAGTTGGGATTGATTTCTATGTATATAATCATCTCTGAGCATGTTATGCAAGCAACAGCACACTACAATGACCGAGTCTACATTTTCAGGTTTCAGATTTATGGGAGTGAAAAAAATTCTAAAAATCGCACACATAATTCCAAAAGCATTTTCAGATACTCTTCTGGCTTTGCTCAGTCGGTAATTGAACTTCCTTTTATTCGGATCTTCTAACATCTGTGCTTTGGAGTATGGCTTCATTATATGCTCACTTAACCGGAACGCTTCATCACCAACTTTTACGTGAGGCAGCAAGATGTTAGAATGCGGGAGAAATTTCGAGGGCGGAAATATAGTTTCATTTTTTACCAACAACCCCATTTTCGACTTATTAAAAATGCCTGCATCGCCCTCCTTTCCATACGAACCAACATCAATAACTACAAACTTGCAATTAGCATCGATCATTGCAAGAAGTACAATAGAAAAAAATCCTTTGAAGTTGAAATACAAACTTCCCGACTTAGAAGGTGCCACTATTCTCACATGTTTGCCGTCAATGGCTGCAACACAATTAGGGAAATCCCAACGTTTCTTAAATTCTTCAGCCTTTTGGTTCCAGTTTATCTGATCTGGTGAAGGTAGAAAAATAGGTACAATTTGTTTTTGTATCGCAGCCAAAACCTTGGGTACAAATGTGCTTATAGCAGAAGGAGAGATGCGGTAACCAAATGCCAGCGATCTAAAGGATTCTCCTGTGGCTAGAAATCTGAAACAAATAGTTATATGTATATGAATTAGTCAGCACCATTTTACAGAATGTACATTTGCTATTTTTTGAATTTTGTTATATACGTTATTTTGCGGATTAATTTTCGGTTTTTGCGGATTACTAGTTTTTTTCACAAAATAATGTATATAACAAATATAATGAGTATTATTGACATTGTACATTAAGAGTGGTCCTTATAATGGCCAATATGAAAAAAAAAATTATATAAAAAAAGAATAGAAAACTAGGTGTATATGTATCTTTGTGTTTGATTGCTATAGAAACTGAGTGCAAGAAGCGATGGAAAAGTGTGCGTGATCATTATAGGAGAGAAAAAAAGGAAGGGAAAGAAACAGGAAAAGCTGCTAAAAAAAAGAGAGCTGTTTACTGGGATTGCTTGAGATTTTTAGATGTAGTGGAAGATGAAAGAGACAGTTTTTCAAACATATCCGAGCATGAAGTGACTGGCGTTGGCGATGAAGAAGATAAAGTAGTGGAAGAATGTGTTTCAACCGAGCAAGAGTCAGACCAATCAACTCTTCCTATAACTTCTGTACACACTCCTACTGAACATACTCAGATGTCAAGTGGTCTAAAGACTTCCTCTGATGATTTTAAAATACCAAAATCAAATAAAAGGAAAGAAAATGCTTTTATTGATAAATACTTAAAAGAAAAAAAGGAAGATAGGGATCATTTTAAAAAGTGCTTAGAAGAGCTTACAACACCAGAAGACGCAACAGACATGTTTTTCAAAACTGTAGCTGCTACTGTGAAAAAATTTCGCCCAGACCTCGCCACTAAGACAAAAGCAAAAATTTTTCAAATCACAACAGAAATGGAATTTTTGAACCAGCAGTCACTAAATACCGGATTCACTAACATTATTCACGGTGATAATGAAAATTCCTACCACTCATCTGCAGCATCATCTACATGCACTACACCATATACTTTTACCCCTGCGGACACTGACTCGGAAACTTCCAATTTTTCCAGTCACATGATTAGTGATGCTATGAAGGGAATTTTAGATGATGAAGATTTGTAATATTTTCAATATTTTATAAAATAATAATATTTTAATTTTTATTATAATTTTCATTTTTAACATTATTTATAATAATTTAATGATAAGCTACATTTATATGCATATATAACCTCATATACCTTAATGATTTTTTTATATGGAGAATAAGATGATTTAATAAATAATTTTAAAGATTATTTAAATAAAATGAATTATTACTTTTCATAGATCACTTACCTAAGAGTAAGAGCCAATTTTTCCGCAGCAGTTATAGGTGTTTTTACTCTGTTTTATGAGGCAGTTGTCAAATCCCCTTCTACAAGGTTCAAAATGTAGGCAAACATCTCACGAGTTATTCGGAAATAACTTTTAAACCGTTGCTCTTCATCGACAAGGTGGTTATTTATCAACATTTTGAAAATACCCTCGTTTTCTCGTTTATTATAAATGTCACTGACTTTCTTTCTTAAATTCCAATGTTCATGGAGCATATATTCTTCATCTTCGTCATCGATTGTTAAATGTCGAAGAATAAGCAGTGCAATTAGTTTTTTCTTTCTTTCACGACGATTCATTGCAATTGCAAAATTATTAATTAATAATTATAATAATATAATAATAATTAATAATAATACTGTACTAGTAATATTGTATTTACTTAATAAATTATTACAAATGCACTACACACTGATCACACTTCCAGTAGTCAACTGAATTGTTCAACCACTATATTTTATAGGAAAACACTTTTACGCCGCGTAAGACGTTTTACGCTCACGTCGACGTGATCGGTTTCTGCGGCGCAAAAAACGCGCTCCTAGGAAAACGTACCTTAACGACGACGCGGGCACGTGTGTCGCGCGATCTCGGCGGCGGAGTTTTGATAGACCGGTTTCCGGCAGTTCGTCGTATATTTTTTTTTTTTTGATCAGTCTCGGCGGTATCGGTTTACCTTGCTGTTGGTGGGCTAATTAAATTTCTTTCCTACCTAGCCCATTTGTATCCAACCGCTATCTCGCGCGTGCGTCTATTTTCGTTGCCCGGGTCCCAATTATTTTACGATTGTGTGCTGTATTTGGGAATTCCGTACCTCGCTCGATAATATTAGAACCTCCGAGGACGACCTGACTTATATAACTACGTAAAATAAGCAGGGCGTGTGGTAAAAACAAGCGAAAATTTGACTTACCCTTTTTGCTGACCGGTTCAATCCTTCCGGGGAGCCAATTTGTCGTGGACCGGTGGGAGGCACAACGCACAATTTAATAATAATAATAAGGAATAATAAGCACAACGCGGTTGACGAGTTGGTAATGGCCCGTGGGCCGTATATTAACAGGCGTGAGCACTTAAAAATAATAATTATAATAGTGATCAACACGATCGTGCGCAGAGTGGCGAACACCGAATAACAAAAAATTAAAATAATAAAATAACAAGATCACGTTGCTTTCTGTGTATGCAGAGGGATGGTGTTAAATCGTAGGACGCGAAAGTGGCGATGTGACCATGCGAAGAGTTGACGAACAACATCCCGCCGTTCCGGCGCGCTAGTTTTTGCTTTGACAACACGAATTCCGATAGTGATTCGGAGGTGATCTGTCGTGTAGAAAGGATTTCCGCAACTGTGCTTGAATTTCGGGGTTGTCGAAACTTTCTAACAGTTCCGTCCGAAATTCGGTCCACTTCCGTCCAACGCCACTTAGCTCCGTATTTAAGTCGGTCGGTTAAGGGTGCAATGGTGTCCGAGTAGTCGTCAACAAACTGGCTGTACCAATTGCATGTTCCTAAGAACCTACGCAGGTCTTTAACCTTCTGGGGACATACTTGCCTTCGGCGGTGCCGATGCCCCACTCTCCCCGTTCCTTAAGGAAGGTGCGGGGTGCGACTCGTCGGTATCGTCATCCGTGAATTATCGGCTAATTAGGAGACTATAAATACGTTCGGCGGCGTCCGTTGTGGTCATAGAGTAATATAGAGAGGGCATAGTCTATACCAGAGGTTCTCAAAGTCAAATGAATCACGGACCCCCACCTAAAGA